ATATAAATAATATCTATATTTCTTATTTTATTCTCTTTCAATGTAAATTAACTTTAATCTCTGTTTAATTTACTCTTTGTCCTTTTCTAATTCTTAGAACTAGAAAAAGATAAAAGGTAAATTAAACCAAGATTAGAATTAATCTACATTAGTAGAAACGGACATAATCTTTTAAAGGATAAAATGAGTTATCTTCAAGTCTCATATCTATACTTAATTCAATATACAATATAAACTTATGTAGAAATATACAGTATACGCATATACAATGTTTGTGTGTAAATTGGCAATTTTATTAAAATTTCTAGTTGGCGCAGCGGTTTGTGTATCAGGCGTAGGTGCCAATCCATTAGTGAAGAACTGCGACATATCAGACTGTGAGAATGTTGGATTGTATGTAACTGACTACGCCCAGGGCACATATGAGGATAATGAGATCTCACGGAATGCCCTCGCTGGCATTTGGGTGAAGAATTACGCGAATCCCATCATGCGACGGAATCACATTCATCATGGTCGCGATGTCGGAATATTCACGTTCGATAATGGGCTTGGTTACTTTGAAGCCAACGATATTCACAACAATCGGATAGCAGGGTTTGAGGTAAAAGCTGGTGCTAATCCTACTGTTGTTCACTGTGAAATTCATCATGGCCAGACTGGGGGCATTTATGTGCACGAGAACGGTCTGGGACAATTCATCGATAACAAGATTCATTCAAACAATTTTGCTGGCGTATGGATCACTTCGAACTCTAACCCGACTATACGTCGAAATGAAATATACAATGGCCATCAAGGTGGAGTGTACATTTTCGGCGAGGGTAGAGGTTTGATTGAACACAACAACATTTATGGCAACGCACTAGCTGGTATACAAATTAGAACAAACTCGGATCCGATTGTCCGGCACAATAAAATACATCACGGTCAGCACGGCGGTATTTATGTGCACGAAAAAGGCCAGGGCTTAATAGAGGAAAACGAGGTATATGCCAATACTTTGGCAGGCGTATGGATCACAACGGGTTCGACGCCGGTTTTAAGGCGAAATCGAATTCACAGTGGTAAACAAGTCGGCGTATATTTTTACGACAACGGCCATGGGAAATTGGAGGACAATGATATTTTTAATCACTTGTATTCAGGAGTACAAATAAGGTAATTTTCACTCTCGAAAGAATTGTAGGCTTAGATGCTTTGATATTTAGCGATAAGAAAATGGCTGAATGCATGCTTCTTCTGCAGGACTGGCAGTAATCCGGTCATACGTGGTAATAAGATATGGGGAGGACAAAACGGCGGAGTTCTCGTGTATAATAGTGGCTTAGGCTTACTCGAACAAAATGAGATTTTTGACAATGCAATGGCTGGCGTTTGGATTAAAACAGACAGCAATCCAACTCTTAAAAGAAACAAGATATTCGATGGACGAGACGGCGGAATTTGTATATTTAATGGAGGCAAAGGTAAAGCGTTTTTTCTTTTTAATTGTAAAATTTTGGCTTATGTATTATTAGACAATGATCTTCTGATGAATAATTATATATTAAAAGTTCTTTTAAATAATTTATAGTTTTATTTTTTAAATTTAATCAAACATTCTATTTGTTTTTACTAAAATTTGTGCCAAAACAAAATTTAGTAAACAAATTTTAGTGCATATTGAAATACATTGCAAGAATTCAAACTTAGTTATTCCAACTTAATAATTAATGATTTTTTGTAGTAACTGTCTAAACTCTTTGATCATAAAAAGTTATTATTACAATGAAAATTAAGCATCATAATATGAAAATAATATTTATAACAATGGATGAGATTGAATAAATATATTTCATTGAAAAATAGACAGAATTATGATTTTTGCGCTTCTTGGTACAGGTATTTTGGAGGAGAATGACATATTTCGCAATGCGCAAGCGGGTGTGCTTATATCGACACAATCGCAACCGATCCTGAGGAGGAACCGGATTTTCGACGGATTGGCGGCCGGTGTTGAAATAACTAACAACGCCACTGCTACCCTGGAATTCAATCAAATATTCAATAATCGATTCGGCGGTCTGTGTCTGGCGAGTGGGGTGCAACCAACGACTAGAGGTAAACACTCGCTTCCAATAACTAATCGCCGGCGCTTTTAACGAAAAAGTATTGCATGCATTTCTTTTTGTTTTTAGGCAATAAAATATTTAATAACCAAGACGCGGTGGAGAAAGCAGTTGGGAACGGCCAATGTTTATACAAAATCTCTTCGTACACTTCCTTCCCCATGCACGACTTCTATCGTTGTCAAACGTGTAACACGACGGATCGAAACGCGATATGTGTCAACTGTATAAAAACTTGTCACGCCGGTCACGATGTGGAATTCATTAGACATGATCGGTGAGTTTGCATGCTCGATTCCGTGCATTATTTAGGTGCAAGTGGAATAATCGCTTAATGTAATCGTGTGCGTTAATTATTTCTAGATTCTTTTGCGATTGCGGCGCCGGAACATTGAGCAATCAGTGTCAACTGCAGGGTGAACCTACGCAAGACACGGATACGTTGTACGATAGTGCGGCGCCCATGGAATCGCATACACTTATGGTCAACTAGGAACTAACCTAAAATAATTTAAACAATCAAACAATGTTTAGAGCCGTAAGTCCATTAATATTGCGAGCACGCGCAGTAAATTTATTGCCGAGTTCTTTATCATAATCTTTGGTTTATATCGTCATTATATCATTGTTATACTTTAAAAAAATTTTATTTATTGCAATGATTTTATTTTTATTGTTAATATGATATATTACGATATAATATGAATCACACAAATCACATAGTATGTATCAGTAATATTACCTCATCTGTAATGTGATACATGACATTGTTATATATTATTTATTTATTTTTATCAAAATCATCTTTGTTCTTCATATAATATATTATTTGCTTTAATTTAAACGTTTATTACATCACATTACGAATAATATAGATTTTTTACGAATTAATAATTTAGCTACTAATTTAAGCACAAACAATTAATTGGATTGGTTATCTGAGTTTATTAAAATTACGATAGACGATGTGAATTTACCTATATTTTATTGAAAATGTTGTTTCTCTTTGATTCATTGTTGTTAAAGATTTTTAAAAGAAATGAAATATTGTTTCTTTTTCTTTAAAGTCAATAAAGAACTCGGCAATCTAATCGCCAAGAAGGCGATAGTAATAAAATAACAAAGAAAGCCCTCATATGTGTAAAACATACAGTATCATATTAGGTATATCACAAATTAATTTAAATGTGTAAACGAGGGAAACGCTAGGTTAATCGTAAATCGAACTTTTCACGTGACTCTTTTTATTAAGGTTCTACAATCCTTAAAATCTTCATATAACAAGAGAGTGCAGTGCTGTAAAAACGAAATGAAGAAGGAAGAGAAACATGTGTATACGCCATAATGACACTCGACGCCTCGTAATACGCTCTAATGTACTGCTTAAAATTTAACGAAAACCGCGATAACGTAGATAAGACGAATGTAAGTTCGCACAGTGTGAAACAATCCGGAATGTAAATTGTGTATATCGAACGCGAACCAGTAATCACGCTGAGAGCGAATAATACAGTCATATTATCTACTTTTGAGCAGAAACATCAATCTACAATGAAAGAACGTAAAATATATAGATAAAATTTGCACTTGATTACTGATAAAAGGGGATTTAATCGTACCAGTGTGTAAAAGGAACGCAAGCAGTGCGCGTCGTTGAGTGCCGCACTCGAAATTGCAAAACTGAAAATCTTGAATCTCACTTCACGTAACAAAAAAAAAGCAAAAGGACTATAAACTAACGTCACGATCATTTACGTATTATCAAGTGCAACTTCGTTGATCAATGATCTATCGAATCTATGCGGTACAAAACGAGAGGAGATGGAACGAAGAGGCTGGGAAACCAACAAGACGAAGATCTGCAAGACACACCGGAACGAATGTCTAAAATATGTGATATATAAAACTCACACAGGTGGAATAATCAAAATAAAAGTAAACGTGCTGCTAATTTTTCGACGTAAACATACCTCGTAATTAACGCGTAACAATTCCATTAATCGCGATGGTGAATTATGTGATGGTCCTAAGTTGCCCCTATACGGGCGAAGTGCATAATAAGGATGGGATAAATGTTGAAAACTAAATTTAAAACTTACGAAGGGAAGAGTGAGAAAAAAAAAGAGTGCGTACACGCGGAAATGTACGACGGTGTATACCAGTGAAAAAAAACGAAAGGGATGAAAACGGAAACAGTTAAGCGCTCGAAATAAAAGATGTACTGTCCGAGGAACAGTTTTTAAAAAGTCTCGAATTTTTCAGAGTAATCAGATTTTTTTAATTATTACGTTAGTGAGTAAAAGAAGTCTAATTACCTTATTGTAACATGTAATTTTTCCGGGAGCGGCGCGCGCGCTCCCGTGCGAGGAAAGGAAGCGCCTATTAGCGATATAATTTTAGACCGAAATCACCTTTATTTACGCAAATGGTATACATATATAGATAAGTAGAGAGGAGCGGACTGTCGTGAGGCGTTCATCATTGTGAGTTTTGTTCGGAATTTGACAATTCGTAATTCGTTACTCTATGTGTATATTCTGTGGTATCTTTTATATGTCGTATACGGCAAGGAGACGCACGAAAATTGCCTTTCAACTTACTGTGACTCAGGAGGATAATATATTATATAGATACATATGTGTGTGTATGTGTATCTATATATAAATACACACACACACACATATATATATATATATATATATATATATA